TGTTATGTTGCACGTCAATACGTAAGGCAAAACAAACTATTCGTGAAAATTACTTAAACTTTACCGAGTTCATAACTAAACGAAACTCAAATATCCGGAACAGCTGCGATGTAGATATTAACCATCCAATACTGTTACTATAAACAAAAACCTCGTTACTTAACAGCAAACGTTGTGTTATGACAGGATGTTTTTCTGTTAGGGAGTATTCCGTTTGAACGTTTTGAAGGTAGACCAAATGGTTCATTAGTCTYCTTCGCAGTTCCTTGCGCCATCTTGAAAGGTAGCCGTGCCTTTGCATCGAAGGGAGAATAACGGTGAGCTTCCAATGATAGAGACTTTTTAAAAACTTTTTGAACAATTATTCAAAGATATCTATCATTGCAAGCACCTATTGGCTCTGAATCGGATGAATATGATTAATGATTTGTTCCTTTTCTAATTCCCTCCCTCCTTCCTTCCTTCCTTCCTTCTTTCCTTCCTTCCTTCCTTCCTTCCTTCCTTTTTATATCATAATATAATATTTCATTTATTTAATCGCACTACCTATATCTATAGACTACTGCAATCGCAAGTCTAATGCGCGCACAAATCTTTTTTAACATTAGATTTCCTTACATCARCTAGTCTTTAGGCGAGGAATTTGCAGTCTGACATCCGGGGTCTGGGTTCCCGCTGTTTGACTAGACATTTTTCCTCTTAGCTCGTATATGGCTTATCACAGTATCCTCTCACTCAAGAATGACAACAATATTTTAATACTCTTGAAATAGGAGCCATGTCATGGCGATAACCGTTTAACAGTTAGATTATTGATWAGATATGTTTATATTGCTTTTGTATTGTTGCTTTGAATACCGATTGGGCGGTAATTTTTAGTGACAACGCGCATGCGCAACTAACATAATGCTGCGGGTAAGGTACGCTTGCTTTATTTATKATTCTAAAGGTTAGTTTGGTCATCACATCATCATAAATGGTAACTTTTGATTGTCTGTACAATCTACTCTAATTAACAATTTAATTTCGGCAAGCTATATGACACTTTAATGGTTTTCTCTAATTCCGAGCACTTCGTTGGCTTTCTCTAATTCCGAGCACTTCATTGGCTTTCCAAGGCATTCAATGTAATCTTCTAATCACATCATTGTATTCTAAATAAAATGAATTCCGGTGAAAAATGTAGGAAAATCAGTCTCAAACTCCGGATATGATGTGTCATAAACAAAATTTCACGTGACACGAAGCAGAAAAAGTGTCCATTAATAAAATGAACAGTGCCATGGTACTACCAGGTGTCTGTTTCACGTGAATTATCACATGACCGACGCGTTTTGTTTTCGAAAAAAGCATTTCACCTGTAATTGACAAATGGTATATAAAAGATCTATTTCAATATCTTCTCAGGAAGCAGGTTTTATCGTYATCAACGGATCGGCAGCTCTTGTTCCTGTTATGATCGGAGCTTCTTGACTTGTGCTTTCAGCTTGTCGGGGGTCGTTGGTTTGATTGTTCCGGCTGCGAGAAGACTTGTCTCTTTGAAAAACAACTATCTTTGAATTGGACACTTGTGACCACCAACGGCAAATAATAAAACTTAGATCGACTTTTAGTGARAATGTTTTTTAGTGTTTCACTATCTCGTTTGAAGGATAGCATGGCATTCTCTTGATAAATACCATCAGAAAAAGTCAGAAAAAGACATCAGACTCAAGGGAATGGCAGGTGATCTGAAGTGGAGGAAAAAATTTTTTTTGGCCATTCGTTCAAACCAACGTTGTTTTTTTTTTTTTTTCTTTCTTTCTTTTTTTTCCTGAAAATCCTTGTAACTCATATAAGTATATACGAATACATGAAATATATATTACATATGCACTACATATGCTAACACACACTGGCAAATATTAATAAACAAAATTACGTACATGTGACACAAAATACTGTAAAACATAATTTAAGCACTCGTTATAACCATATATATTATATTTTAGTCACTACCTTATTCATCATTCATCATACATACATACACACATATTCGCATATATTTTCAACTTCTCGGTYGTAAGTATTTTTACTGCCTTTTTTATGCACCTTTAATCTTTTCTTTCTCGTTAAACCGATTAATCGCCATTTAGCCGTCGGCACCTTCATTCAATCATGATCCTGAGACGTTTTAATGAATAGAAAAATTGAAAATTAAGGCTAATAATGATTGAAAAAGACGCGACATTAATCGTTAKTGCCCTGAAGTTAATCTTCCTTGAATTCAATAATTGAAAAGTTTGAATAAGAGCGACGCCGAAAATATATGTCACAGGGCCGTTAAGATTACAGTAAAATTTGTGAATTGCAAGCTTTTTTATTAGAATAAAGCTCAAGACTGAAAATCTGTCTGGTGGTCTTACTAAAACTATAGAGCCTATATGCCTATTTCAAAAAAAGTTGTCATCGCCAAAGGCGATAGACAATACTAGGCGATTGGCGAAAAGAGATAGGAGATAGGTCATTCCAAGATACAAGAATAGCTGGAATAATTTGTGTTTCTGCTTCWTCTTCTCGTCAAGAACATGGACCTTAGTGTTGAGACTGAATCCATGTTCTTTGTATTCAACGAAACCATTTCCATGTCGGAATGACCTATCGCCTATCGCCTGGGCGATGTTCATTTTTTTGAAATAGGTGTATTTTGGATGTGTAAATTCTTAATTGAATTTTATGGGCTGGCAGTGGCGAATGCGAACTGCACTGAAAAATAACACATATTCTGAATAAAACTGAAGTTTTACTCGATATATTGAGTTAGATCTGCTCAAAAGATAGCTAAAATTTGACTGAGATGTGTTTGTACAAGTAACTCTCAATATTGAGTAAAAAATGAGTAATTCAACTCAAAGTATTGTATAAAATTTACTCGAACATTTTCTACTAAGAGAGCATAACTGACAACAAATAATAAGTAATAAATAATAAACTACTGGGAATCTAACAATGCTTCCAAAGAGTTGCTCTTCTTCAGCTGAAAACCAGTTGGAATTTAGAATTTGAGTTTAGTGGAGAAAGGAAACTTAGAGAACCTTGAGGAAAAACTCCCCTTCAGGAGAGAACTTCGACTTATAAGCGGTAGAAAGAAAATATCAAGGCTCGAAAAGAAAAAGAAAGATGTAARAATATAAACCCGCGCTTTCCGAGGAGTTTGTTTTTAGTCTTGATTAAAAACTTCTTTTGTTTGTCTGACTACATATGCTGTTTGTTCTAACGGCATTAAATAAATGTCGGGAAGATCAATGAAAATTACAGTTCATAAAAAAATTAGACTATAAATGAATATTGTTTTGTTATTTTAGGAAAATTTTGAAGTATTACTCTATTATTTTTCAAAATYGAAAAAAAAAACTTAACGATGAAGAAATGCGAACATTTATATGGCTTTTTTGTTCATTTTGGAAAGGTTTTTCATTCASATGTTYGTTCATTGCACATAAATGGGTTCAMACAGCTGGAGACATTTGAATAACGTTTCGATCAGCATATCAATGATTTAGAATMGTAAGTGGCAAGAAACTATAAYTTTTCAAGCTGTAGAAGCCAACAATGAACCTTTTAATTAGGCATTGAAATATTACTTCTAAATTCCATTCGGCAGCCATATAATTATCAGTTTATTCAAAACGAACTTGTAAAGCACTTGATTGGTTTTCTTTATTCCTTTACTCAAGCTGTTTAACATATGTTCSAACAAATGCGTCATGTATATAGTTTTTCAAATAGTCATATAGTCAKTTTCAGTTCCCTCTGGAGTATTCGAACACTTAAATGGCTTTCTTACCTTAATGTTGTAGCGCCACATCAGAGGATGTTCACTTAAAAATTCCCTCCCTCTGGCAACATTACTAATAGGATTTCTAACTTGGTATTTTATTCTATTAGGAATTTAAACTGATCCTCTGCAACAAAGCCATATATCTATTTACTTTCAACYTTTCCCCTACAGCAAAACTCGTAAATAATTAAAAAGGCATGGAATTTTTTTTTCCCCCAGCAATTTCGTGAAAAACTAAGGCTCTGATATAATCTCTTTAACTAGGTTCTGATCGTGACGTCAGGTTTATGTGAACTTTTTCAATGAGCGTTTAGCGTGTAAAACAAACACGGAAAAAATAAGGTTTCAAAAATAAGTACCTGTCAATTCAGGCGATTCTTTGGCAAAGAAGGGTTTGTCTTCTGACAATTGAAAGGCTTCTATGGCGTCAAGAAGTTTGTTGGTTTTTCTGAGYTCGAGCACTTTATTGGGTTTTTAAACACTTAACTGGTTTTCTGGGTTTATTGTTTGATTTTCTGAGCACTTAATTTCTGTCGTTTTTTTTCGTTTTTTTGTTTTTTTGTTTTTTACAAAGCAATCCCACTTAAGCAAGTGAATGCTATATAGCACTTCTMTGGTTGTCTGTACATTTTTCTGGGATTTCCGAAGTCCTTTCAATGAGCTTCAGTACTTTAGTGGTTTTCTCCTATTCCGAACACTTCATTGGATTTTCTTGATTTTCAATGTAATCTTCTTAAAAAAATCAATTGATTTTTGGTAGAATGATGCTGTATTTTGTAGAGCTGCCTTGCCTTCCTATTAACAGCTTTCTAATGATTTATGCATTTGTGGGGGAAACAATTGGCGCTGAATTGCATTGGCTCGTATATTGTTTCCAACAGGCGTAAAGAAAATCGATTGATATGTCTGATATACGACTAGTTTTTGACAGAAAAAATAACTTGTTGAGAAACATGTACAATACCAAAGCCAATGCGGAACTCTTCATTTCTGAGTAGCACTCTGTTACTTTATGCTAATAAGAACATTTGTCCTTAAAATTAACATATTCATTTGCACTTTAAAGGCTTCTTTGCAGGGTTTTTTTAATTAGAGAAAATAACCCCTTTTTAAAGAGATTTGCGGCTTGGTTTATTTTTTCGATTGTTTTGGAGATTTGACTTCGTCATTGATTCACTTTCTGATAGAGGCACGAAGCTACACTTCAATGGGTTTAGAGAACTTTTCCTTGGTATAGATTATTAATATACTAGTGGCACCAGATGTTATATGAAAAGTTCTGCGGGCTAGTACTCGACTACATTCAAACCATAGAGCAGTTCAATGGATTCCTGAAAGCCAGTAAACTGAAGCACTTGAGARGTTTTTGTTATAATATAGCCATGCATCGGAACTGCTCCAAAAGGGTTAGTACRTGAATTCTAAACGCTTTTTCAAGGTGCAAATTCCGTTTTCCAAAAAAAGAGGGMGATATTAGAGACATAATGTCTGTGGCTGTCAACCGGAAAGCCTATTGGTAATCGCTATTAGGTGTTATTTATAACTTTATCCTCGGCAGCATCTAAAAGGCTTCCCAACGAAATCAAGTCTTAAACTCAAGTTAAAGAGAGAATCTTGTTTGTCAGCAACCTGGATACTGTTGCATGGGCTTGCTTGGGTAAACTGCTTTACGTTGCTGTCACACAAAAAAAGAAATTGCATAATGGTCATGAACCATGAACTCAACCGATATGAATCGACGTCGTGGAACATTTCAAAAGATCCAAACGTTACTACATCATGTAGAACGTTAGCTGAAGCTGCTTTTCTCACGAGTTATATCGTCACCGGAATCGCTATTTTTATTGGTAATCTATTCACGGGYGCTGTGTTTCTCTCCAAGCATCAGCTTCGTCGAACATACATGAATGTCTTTTTAATCAGCTTAGCTTGTTCGGATTTCCTAATGGCGATTCTAGTGCTTCCGGGTTTTACWCTCTTTTGTAATCACTGCTTGGCCCTTCTATTCAGCCTTTCTCYAAAAAGTAGAACCTGTAATGTTCTCGATGGCTTGAAAGATTTCGTGTTCCTGGCTACCGTCTTCAACGTCTTAGCCATCACTTTYGACCGTTATCAAGCAGTTATACAGTCTCTTAGATACCGTTCGAGAATRAATAAAAAGACTGTTGCATTTATTTTGGTTCTAGTTTGGCTCGTCCCGTGGCCTATAGCCTACCTAAAGCATATTCTCACTTTTACGGACCCATTAATTTTTAAGGAAGAAAACAGGARTTTGTTTATTTACGATAATGTCGTTGTGTTCACGTGTATTATCTCTCCTATGGTCGTCTTACTGGTCGTGAACACTATGTTGACTAGAGCAATCAGAGAGCAACAAGCTAAGATTAGTAACCCATGGCCAGGGAATCTTTATCTGACCCAGCAACAGATGGAAGAAAGGGAACRAAAAAATGAAAATGAAACCGCAATGGGAAATGCGGAGAGAACGAGGGTTGAGGAAAATGGTGTCAGAAGGGACAACCACGAAGACAGATTCGAAAATCGTGTCAATGAAGGTTTCCAAGGAGACGATGAGCAAGATGAAATTAACGAGAACCATGTTGAAGAATTGAACAAACACGTGGCTAACGAGTCACGTGAAGATCACGTGGTCGGCCCTTCTATAAATCTCGTAATAGCTTCTATATCAAGTGAAGACGGTAATAGTAATAATAAAGCGAGTCAAATTAATGGTTTCCAAGGTGACAGCGAGAGAGAGGAAGTTGATTTTAAATTTGAAGAATTGGACGCTCACGTGACATGCAATACACGTAATTTTCACGTGACTGCATATGCAAATGAACTTCGCAGAAAAAYCYTGGATRGTGATGTTGGTTGYCTTGRAGCTAAATTTCATTCCGAAGTTCTKGTGAAWYKTGAAGCTAAYGAAAGAAAAATATTGARTGGATTTTCGCATGRCTTTGAAATTCAAMAWGAAAGTTRTGRTCGTCGCGATGATAGTYGTGACATKCAGAGAACSAGGTCTCAAGCTGAGAACACAAAAGAGGAAGAAACAACGGGAACAAGTATTATACCAGAAGCCTTACAATCATCTCCAAGAAGAAAAATAGGCTGTGTTACGCAGCCTCTGCAATTATTGCCGTACGAAAAGCTACAGAAACAAGAACCTATAGCAAGCCAGGATTATTCCATAACAGAAATTAATAATCCAATTCTCGATGCTGAAAATACAGACTCGTTAAAACAAGCGAGACCCACCGTTGTGCCGCAAGAGCAGGAGTCCTGCGCGATGTGCAACTGCAGAAATAGTWTTTGTGCAGAACGTTTGAGAAGAGTGAACTCTCTTCAAGGAACACTGGATCRAAATGTTGGATTTGAAGACGCAAACACAACACAAGGACAACTTGGAGCAAATGTGTTCGGAGAGGAAGAGCTTCAGAATAAATCCTCGTCTTYCTTTGATAACTCAGAGCCTCATAGGCGTTTAACGACGAGAGAGTTAGTTAAAATGAATGCCAACTCTTGTTATCAAAATGGTGCTTTTCCAAAGGCAAGCGAAGTGGAGATTCCATCACAAATTGAAGATAATAAAATTGGTGATGACATAGAATGCAAAMAAGACGATGGAGCTGTAACAGTGGAACGCGTCAGCGAAGAAACACAACGATACGGGGAAACTAGTGGCTGTTCGACTATAGAGAAGCAAAGTCCTACCAGCAATAGGGGAATTAGAAAAAACCTCTCATTTCAAGAGCACAAAAAATCTACAACAACAAATTCAACCAAGTCTTCTCTCACTAGAAAACAAATGAGGAAATTATCTCGAGATAGAAAAGAAAGAAACGGTACGCGTTCATGCCTTACCGTGGCTCTAATCTTCGTGATTTGTTGGATACCCAGATGTTTGTATAATTTTTTGCAGTYTTTTTCTGCGCATGATATTATCGATATGTACTTGTTGGAGAAGTTTTCTATGCTATTTCTTTTTCTGCAGTCCTTAACTAATCCRCTTGTTTATTGCTTTTACCGTGGTGATTTTCGTCAGGCTGCGAAGGAACTTATACGTAAGATTACAAGATGCAAACGACRAGACAATAACTGATGAGATATTATTAGTGGTTATCGGTACTTATTACTATCGATTTGAGAYGTTGGAAATATGTTGGRAGTTTCGACTTCCAACATATTTCCATACTATTGGAAGTAAAAAAACCATGCAGATAAAATGGATGTCAGCACTTCCATACCATGGAAGCTAGTCATGATCGGAAAGTGCACGCGTCATTTTTTACCCGTGAGTTCCATCACGGTTAGCGAAATATGATGGAAGTCACCACTTCCAACATGTTTCCATACCATGGAAGTCGAGAAATGGTGGAAATATCATAGAAGTCACTTAAACACAATAGAAATACCTTGGAAGTCGCAAGTTCCAATTCATATTTCAATGGTATTTTTAACATATTTCCATGATTTAGTTTTGGACACTTCCAACATATTCCTTCCAACATATTTTCAACCTTTTTCCAAATTGACTTCCAAAATATTTCCAACATGCACCCTTTATCACCAACTAACTTCCAATGTATTTCCATGATATTTGCAACATAATTCCAACAAATTTCCATATCATTTGAMCAATAGTTTAAAAGTTAGACTTCCAAATTTTTTCACTGATCATGTTTTCAACATATTTCCAATATCTCAAATCAATAGAATTTTTTGACATCTTTATAGAACTGCTTAGTTCCGTTTGGGACCCAGAAGTCGTTATTGTATACAAGTCCCATTCATTTCAGGTATATTCTTATTTCTACACAGCGCTTATCCAATCCATTTCAAGTACATTCTTATTCTTATTTTATTTGTTCGTCCATTCCATCCATTTGACCGCACAGCGCCATTTGTCTCATAAGGTCTTATAAACCTGAAATATGGATTAGATGAACGAATAGGAATAAGAATGTACCTGAAATGGATTGGATAAAAGAAAAAGAAAAATGAAGTGTGTGCTTGAAATGGATTGGATCAGTGAACGTGTCAAAACTTGAATCGTGACGAGAGACAATTTCTTTAATCTTAASTCAAAACTTTACTTAACTTTAACGTAATTCAAGGTATAAGAAAAAGAAATTACCTCTTACGAGATTGGATGAACGTAGTAAAAAGAATGTACCTGATTACAAATCAGATTCGTATGAATTTAAGAAATTTTATGAAAAACCCTTTCAATGTGCTTTTTTTGTTGTTGTTTTTAAAGCTCTTGAAAATTAACCTGTAAGGATTAAACCAAGCAAGAAAATATTACATAAAAAGACTAAAAAAAAAATGCTTATGAAAGTAATTAGTAATGAAATACACTCCATTTGTTTCTTGGGAAGGAATTGCTATGAATAAAGAACCAAAATAAGCTTTTTGCGATCCATTTTTCCTGAATCTCCCTACAAGAAAGGCATACGACAGATCTACGACAACAGTACATTGTACAGGTGGGTGAGGAAAGTTTCAATGGTTATATTATACGTTATGCCATTAACTTATAAACAGTTTATTTGTACACTAAACACAGATCTTAATTTTTCTTTAAAATTATCGTACGAAATAACATTCATTTGCTAAAGAAAGCGTTTATGGCAAAAAGTAGACTGTGTTAAATATATAAGTGGAGAAATAGAAAATGGCCGCCATCTTAACTTGGATTATTATTATTATTATTTATTTTTCAAGTTAACGGGGGAATTTCAGGTGGCTAGCTAGTCTAACTAAACTTCAATTATGATCTAATCTGACAATATTTACCAAATCTGTTGCTTGTATCAGAAAACGAATGATTTTCACACTGTCTGCTCCACTATTTATACAGGTGTGTGTAAAAATCTCCATGCTTATTTTACTAAACGTTACGGCATTATCGTATAAACATTATTTGTAGACAAAAGTTTAGATTTTGGACCATTTTTTCATACCACCTTGTGAAAATAAACAAAACTAAATTAAAACATTGCTTGCCAAATTTTTACGGGGCATTTTTATATTAATTCAAAGTTTTACTAAGAAATTTTGAGAGAAATTTTATTTATTTATTAGTAACTTTTATTATTATTGTAATCTATTAGAACCGCAATTTTCTGAAACAGCTATAGGAAAGCGTTTTAGATTACACTGACGTATGAAATTATTTAGTAAAKTGTTTAGTTTTCATATTCGTTTTAAACTGATTCTTCTCTCTCTCTTTTTCACAGTTTTCAGCACTGACAAGTTCCTTTTTTCTTTTCAAACCGAAGATGAATGGAAAGAGCCATTTTTTGGTGACTTTCATAATGTTTGGATCGCTGGCGTCGTATGCCACTGCAAGGGCACTGAGGAAGGGTTAGTATGTCCGACCAAAACCTTTTTTTTTTTTCTTTTTTGTATTTATAGAAAAGAATTTTCAATCGATCTATAAAACAAATTCTTCAAAGCTAATTTTCACGAAAAGCCTGAAACGACCTCTGGGCTGATCTAAGTCAGGGCATGGCTAACTCACAGATAGAACCCTGAAACAACCTCTGGGCTGATCTAAGTCAGGGCATGACTAACTCACAGATAGAACCCTGAAACGACCTCTGGGCTGATCTAAGTCAGGGCATGACTAACTCACAGATAGAACCCTGAAACAACCTCTGGGCTGATCTACGTCAGGGCATGACTAACTCACAGATCAAACCCTGAAACGACCTCTGGGCTGATCTAAGTCAGGGCATGACTAACTCACAGATTAAACCCTGAAACGACCTCTGGGCTGATCTACGTCAGGGCATGACTAATTCACAGATCAAACCCTGAAACGACCTCTGGGCTGATCTACGTCAGGGCATGACTAACTCACAGATAGAACCCTGAAAC